GTTTGGGGGGTCCTGGCCGTGCTGGGGCAACGCTCGGACTCAAGGGCCTTCAGGGTGTCTCCCTGGCAGAAGGATCCTGTGGCTCTGGATGGCAGCTCCCGTGGCACTCTCCCACCTTCACCCCACCCCTCCTCACCTTCAGGTACCTCTCCAGCTTCTTACTGATCAGCTTGTTGTTGAGAATGCTCCTGGCCACCACCAGCGACGACTTCTTGGACTGCTCCATCATCGCCTGTAAGGGATGACCAAAAACCCCCATGAACCATCATCTGAAGTGACCCAGGAGGCTCCTCTGCCTGGAGCCATCACCTCAGACCACAGCTGGTGGGTGGATGAAGCTTGTCACCCCCTGCAGTGCTGGAGGCAGCTCTGGGGTACCCAGCAGGTGACAGGGACCTGCTGGAGCAGGGCCAGAGGTGGCCACGGAGCCAGTGTGAGGGTGGGACCCCTCTGCAGGGGAGGCTGGGGGGCCTCTGAGCATCCTGCTCTGGCTGCTCCCTGCAGGGCGTTGGACTCAACCTCTCAAGGTCCTTTCCAACCCAAACCCAAACCACGACTCCCCCACAGGTCACGGGGAAGTGGAGAAGTTCCAAAGTTGTTTATTTGGCAAGAAATGAAGCAAGAGACCCACGATCTCATTTCCATATGGCACAGGAGGCTCTTGCTGGCAGCACTTTGATCCCACCAACAGCCTTCTGGGCAGCTTGGAAAGGTTCTGGGGACACCAGGCCACCAAAACTAACAGCAGGCTGTGGGCAGAACTGCTGATGAAGAGGATGATGAAGAAGAACTCTCTCCTGGTGTTGGGAGCCACCTGAGGCCGGGCACTCACCCGGCGGTTGTGGTTGTGGTCGAGGGACTTGAGGTGCTTCTGGATGATGCCATACTGCATGGGGATGAAGAGGTCACAGGCAGCACAGTGAGCAGCCTCCACCTTCTTGATGAAATGCTCCATGCCAACGTCTGGGGGGGCAGAGGAGAGGTGTTAACGGGGAGCTGGGATGGGCCCCAGGCTCTGCTCTGGCCTGTGTTACCAACTCCTCCTCCTCCACCCCCAGCAGCGTAGGCAGCAGGTCCAGGGGGGTTCTGCCCCTCTGCCAGCTCTGTGAGACCCCCCTGCAGTGCTGGGGCAGCTCTGGAGCCCTCAGCAGAGCCAGGGACCTGCTGGAGCGGGGCCAGAGGAGCCCCAGCAATGCCCCGAGGGGGGAACCCCTCTGCTGGGAGCCCAGCAGGAGAGAGCTGGGCTGGGGAAGGCTCCAGGGAGACCTTCTGGGGGCCTTGCAGGACCTTCCAGGGGCCTGTCAGAAAGCTGGGGACGGACTTTTGAGCAGGGCCTGTTGGGACAGGACAAGGAGGGGATGGTTTGAAACTGAAAGAGAGAGATTGAGACTCAAGAGAGCAGAGAAATGTTTGGCACTGAGGGTGGTGAGCCCCTGGCCCAGGTTGCCCCATGAGGTGGTCGCTCCCCCATCCCTGGCACCATGCCAGGGGAGGTTGGATGGAGCTCTGAGCACCCTGCTCTGGCTGGGGCTGTCCCTGTCCCTGCAGGGCGTTGGACTCAATGACCTTTTCCGAGTCCCTTCCCACCTGGAGCATTCCAGGACTTGCCACCATCTCAACCTCATTTTTTCACTCTGTTGCTGTTCAGTGGTGGACACACAGGATGAAGGAACTCCTGAGCACACAGGGGTTGGGCTCTCACCTTGTGTGAGATCTTGGTCCCTGTAGATCTGCTGGATCACTGCGTTGATGTCCTCGATCGCCTTCCGCCTCTCCTCAGTTTTCCTGGTTTTATTGGCAACATATTCCTGCATTTAGAGAATTTCACATTCACCTTTTAATATCAATCCCCTCCACATCTCCTCTGAACCTTATTTCTCCCCCCACCACTGAAACCCTGGGCACAGCAGCACCCCCAGTGCCTCACCTGCAGGAAATCGGCCGTTTGTTGGGGTAACTTGGTGCCCACAAACTTGAAGTGCTCCTTGTGGAACTTGCTCTCCAGGTGACTGCTCATCTCATCCTCGTAGAAGGTCCGATATTTACACAAGGAGCACACAAACTGGATCCTGTGCAGAGAGTCCAGGCAAAGGGAAGTGAGGTTCAACTGTCCCAGCTCAACCTGGCACCTTTCACACTGCACCTGCTCCTCATGCTGCTCAAGGGCTGGTGGAGGAACTCGGGGGAGTCTCCAGAGCTTTAAGGGTCTTTCTGGAGGTTTTCCCATTTCTAGGTATCTTTTAAGCATGGATGGCATGAGCATGGGCAGGAGAGCAAAGCAGCTTCTACCAGCAACAGACAAAGTACTGGGACACACCTTGAATCCTGGGGCAGGTTTGGGGCCATCACACCCAGAAGGAGCTTAAGGGGCTGGAGGGTGGGCAGAGAAGGGCAACAGAGCTCCTGGGGAAGGGGCTGGAGAACTTGTGGGGAGCAGTTGAGGGACCTGGGGGGTCCAGCCTGGAGCAAAGGAGGCTCAGGGGAGACCTTCTGGCTCTGCCAACTCCCTGCCAGGAGCTTGGAGCCAGCTGGGAGAGGGGAGATCTCTTGTCCCCAAGCCATGGGAGGAGAGGAACCGGCCTCAAGTTGCCCCAGGGGAGGTTGAGTTTTGAGCCATTGCTGCCCCTTGAGGGTTGCCCAGGACTGTGCCAGGGCAGTGGTGGAGCCCCCACCCCTGGAGGGGTTCCCAAGCCGTGCAGATGTGGGGTGAGGGACACGGGTTGGGGGGTCCTGGCCGTGCTGGGGGATGGTTGGGCTGGAGGAGCTCAAAGGTCTCTCCCAAGCAGAGCAATTCAGTGATCCTCTGGGAGCTGGACACCAAGGGATGGAGCCCAGCTGCCAGCAGGACAGCCCCAGAGCAGCAGGTGCCACCACCCCAGTGACCCCAGGAAGCACCCCTGGAGCTGTTACCTCTCCACCATGCGATCCCGGTGCCGTTTCTTTTGCCTCTCTTGGGTTTTCTTGCCTGCCTGCAGCTTGCGCTTGATTTGACTGATCTCCTCCTGGATGGTGAGAGCACCTGAGTGGTGAGAGCAGGGGGGGGTTCAGGGCAGGGCTCGTGGTCACCACCTGAGTGGAGACA